AATTGAAACTTATCCTTTTGTAAATGAGAATTGAACACTGAGGTGATTTGGGAAGCCTTAAATGAGTTTCTAAAATGAAAGTGAATTGAAACTTATCCTTTTGTAAATGAGAATTGAACACTGAGGTGATTTGGGAAGCCTTAAATGAGTTTCTAAAATGAAAGTGAATTGAAACTTATCCTTTTGTAAATGAGAATTGAACACTGAGGTGATTTGGGAAGCCTTAAATGAGTTTCTAAAATGAAAGTGAATTGAAACTTATCCTTTTGTAAATGAGAATTGAACACTGAGGTGATTTGGGAAGCCTTAAATGAGTTTCTAAAATGAAAGTGAATTGAAACTTATCCTTTTGTAAATGAGAATTGAACACTGAGGTGATTTGGGAAGCCTTAAATGAGTTTCTAAAATGAAAGTGAATTGAAACTTATCCTTTTGTAAATGAGAATTGAACACTGAGGTGATTTGGGAAGCCTTAAATGAGTTTCTAAAATGAAAGTGAATTGAAACTTATCCTTTTGTAAATGAGAATTGAACACTGAGGTGATTTGGGAAGCCTTAAATGAGTTTCTAAAATGAAAGTGAATTGAAACTTATCCTTTTGTAAATGAGAATTGAACACTGAGGTGATTTGGGAAGCCTTAAATGAGTTTCTAAAATGAAAGTGAATTGAAACTTATCCTTTTGTAAATGAGAATTGAACACTGAGGTGATTTGGGAAGCCTTAAATGAGTTTCTAAAATGAAAGTGAATTGAAACTTATCCTTTTGTAAATGAGAATTGAACACTGAGGTGATTTGGGAAGCCTTAAATGAGTTTCTAAAATGAAAGTGAATTGAAACTTATCCTTTTGTAAATGAGAATTGAACACTGAGGTGATTTGGGAAGCCTTAAATGAGTTTCTAAAATGAAAGTGAATTGAAACTTATCCTTTTGTAAATGAGAATTGAACACTGAGGTGATTTGGGAAGCCTTAAATGAGTTTCTAAAATGAAAGTGAATTGAAACTTATCCTTTTGTAAATGAGAATTGAACACTGAGGTGATTTGGGAAGCCTTAAATGAGTTTCTAAAATGAAAGTGAATTGAAACTTATCCTTTTGTAAATGAGAATTGAACACTGAGGTGATTTGGGAAGCCTTAAATGAGTTTCTAAAATGAAAGTGAATTGAAACTTATCCTTTTGTAAATGAGAATTGAACACTGAGGTGATTTGGGAAGCCTTAAATGAGTTTCTAAAATGAAAGTGAATTGAAACTTATCCTTTTGTAAATGAGAATTGAACACTGAGGTGATTTGGGAAGCCTTAAATGAGTTTCTAAAATGAAAGTGAATTGAAACTTATCCTTTTGTAAATGAGAATTGAACACTGAGGTGATTTGGGAAGCCTTAAATGAGTTTCTAAAATGAAAGTGAATTGAAACTTATCCTTTTGTAAATGAGAATTGAACACTGAGGTGATTTGGGAAGCCTTAAATGAGTTTCTAAAATGAAAGTGAATTGAAACTTATCCTTTTGTAAATGAGAATTGAACACTGAGGTGATTTGGGAAGCCTTAAATGAGTTTCTAAAATGAAAGTGAATTGAAACTTATCCTTTTGTAAATGAGAATTGAACACTGAGGTGATTTGGGAAGCCTTAAATGAGTTTCTAAAATGAAAGTGAATTGAAACTTATCCTTTTGTAAATGAGAATTGAACACTGAGGTGATTTGGGAAGCCTTAAATGAGTTTCTAAAATGAAAGTGAATTGAAACTTATCCTTTTGTAAATGAGAATTGAACACTGAGGTGATTTGGGAAGCCTTAAATGAGTTTCTAAAATGAAAGTGAATTGAAACTTATCCTTTTGTAAATGAGAATTGAACACTGAGGTGATTTGGGAAGCCTTAAATGAGTTTCTAAAATGAAAGTGAATTGAAACTTATCCTTTTGTAAATGAGAATTGAACACTGAGGTGATTTGGGAAGCCTTAAATGAGTTTCTAAAATGAAAGTGAATTGAAACTTATCCTTTTGTAAATGAGAATTGAACACTGAGGTGATTTGGGAAGCCTTAAATGAGTTTCTAAAATGAAAGTGAATTGAAACTTATCCTTTTGTAAATGAGAATTGAACACTGAGGTGATTTGGGAAGCCTTAAATGAGTTTCTAAAATGAAAGTGAATTGAAATTTATCCTTTTGTAAATGAGAATTGAACACTTAGGTGATTTAGGAAACCTTAAAAGAGTTTCTTAAGTGAAACTAATATTGTTAAGCTACTATTTACTCACTTCGAATTAGAGCAAGATTAGTTTGAGTTAAAATTGGCCGCTTAAGCTGATGAACCTATTAGTTGCCCAAACTAATTGGTTTCTAGAATAAAAGAGAGCACCGTGGAGAAGGGCTGAGAGAGTAAGGGTGAAACTTTCTTCCTGAGCACTAAAAGAGAAAGTGAGAGAAATGAAAGGGGGAATAAGGTGCAAATTTTAAGCGAATTTAAACTCACCCTTTTGGAATTGTGAATTGAAGACATAGGTGATTTAGAAAGAGACAACGATGGAGAAGGGCGGAGTGAGTTGGAGGGGGAAAAAAATGAAAGTGAATTGAAATTTATCCTTTTGTAAATGAGAATTGAACACTGAGGTGATTGAGGAAGCCTTAAATGAGTTTCTTTAGTGAAACTAATATCGTTAAGTTACAATTACTCACTTGGAAGGAGAGCAAGACTAGTTTGAGTTAAAATTGGCCACTTCAGCTAAGGAAACTATTAGTTGCCCAAACTAATTAGTTTCTAGAACAAAAGAGAGCGCCATGGAGAAGGGCGGAGAGAGTTGGGGAGAAACTTTCTTCCTGAGTGCTAAAAGAGAAAGTGAGAGAAAAGAAAAGGGGAATAGGGCAAAATCCTAGGCGAATTGATATTCATCCACTTGGACTGGAGAATTGTACGCATAGGTGATTTAGAAAACATGAAATGAGTTCCCTAAGTTAAAGTAATATCGTTATGCCACAATTACACGGCAAAATCTGCTCCTTGAAAGCTAACTAAGTTTAGTTTGAGTTGAATTTGGCCACTTAATCTGATTAAGCTAATAATTGCCTAAGCTAATTAGTTACTGGATCAGAAGAGAGATGGACGGGGAAGGGGAGTAAGAGAGAAACTTTCTTCAAGAGTGGCAGAAGAGAAAGTCGGAGAAAAGAATGGAAAATACGATAAAAATGAAAGCGAATTGAAACTCATCCTTTAGTAAATGAGAATTGAACACTTAGTTGTTTTAGGAAACCTTTTTTTTTGGGTGAATAACTTTTAGGAAACCTTAACATAAGTGAAACCAATATTGTTAAGCCACAATTGCTCACTTGGAAGTAAAGCAAGATTAGTTTGTGTTAAAATTAGCCACTTAAGCTAACGAAACTATTAGTTGCCCAAACTAACTAGTTTCTAGAACAAAAGAGAGCGCCACAAAGAAGGGCGGGGAGAGTTAGGGAGAAACTTTCTTCCTGAGCGCTAAAAGAGAAAGTGAGAGAAAAGAAAAGGGGAATAGAGCGAAATTTTAAGCGAATTGAAATTCATCCTTTTGGAATTGAGCATTGAACACATAGGTGATTTGGAAAGAGACAACGATGTATGTGATTTGGAAAGAGAGAACGATGGAGAAGGGCAGAGTGGGTTTCTCCAAGGGCAAGTACCTGGTTTCCACACTTGCTAGGGTCTTGCTTACGTAGTATACTGCTTTCTAGTCCCTCTTCTCTTCGTGGATCGCCACCACACTGACGGCGTGGTCTGAAACTGCCAAGTACATGAACAGTTCTTCTCCAGATTTTGGAGTTGACAAAACTGGAGCTGTTGTCAAGTACCTTTTCAAGTCGGCAAGGGCGACTTCGCATTCTTCTGCCCATAAAAATCTGTGGCCTTCTTTAACAATTAAAAAAATGATTTACATTTATTAGAACTTCGACTGATAAACCTGTTCAGGGCTGCTGCCTTGCTGGTCAGAATATGGACTTGCTTGGCTTTTGTTGGGCTCTTTAAGTTAAGGATGGCCCTAATTTGGTTTGGGCCTGCTTCAATGCCCCTCCTGGTGACCAGGTATCCTAGAAAGTTACTAGATCCGACTCTAAATGCACATTTGAAGGCATTGAACCGAAGCCGATCTGTTTGTAGGATATCAAAAACTGCCTATAAGTTGGCCAGATGCTTCCCAGGTTCTTTGGTCTTCACAACCATGTCATCGATGTAGACCTCTACTGTCCTCCTAATCAGGTTCTTGAATATCTTGGTTACTAACCTCAGGTAGGTTGCTTCTGCATTCTTTAACCCGAAAGGCATCACTCTGTAACATTAGAGTCCTATTGAGGTATTGAATGTCGTCTTCTTTTCATCTGGAGCATAGATTGCTATCTGGTGGTAGACTCTGTATGCGTCCAGGAAACTCATCCTCCCATGCCCTGAAGTGGCATCCACCAACTAATCTATCTTAGGCAACGGGAAGCTATCCTTGGGACAAACCTTATTTAGACTGGTGAAGTCCACGCAAACCCTCCACGTGCCATTTTTCTTTTTCACCACCACTATGTTGGACAGCTAGGTAGGGTTTCACTTCTCGAATGGCTTGGGCTTCTAGTAACTTATCTACTTCCTCCTCGACTGCCTCCACATGTATCAATGTCAGCCTCCTTGCCTGTATAACAGGTTTAGACGACATATCTACATTGAGCCTATGGCAAGTAACCTCGGGGTCAATGCCAAGTATCTCATAGGGCGTCCAGACAAACACCTTTATGTTTGCTCGTAGAAAAACCTCAAACTTCATTTCCTCCTCCATGGCTAAGCCTGAGTCGAGAAGGAAGAAGCGTTCTTCATCACCCTCTTGGACTAGAATTTTCTTCAAAGCTTTCTCACCCTTGTCGGCTGGTTCTTTGCCGACATCATCTAGGACCTCTTTGTTCTCATCTTCAATTTCTACTGTCTCTGCTTCTCGCACATTGTAGATGGACTTCATTGCTTCAATGGAGTAATTTTTTGCCTACACCTGATCCCCTCTAGCCTCCTCGATCCCCTGTTCGGTTGGGAATCGCAACAGCTGGTGTAGCGTTGAGGGAATAACCCTCATTGCGTGCAACCACAGTCTTCCCAAAATAACATTGTAAAGAGAGAGGGTGTCAATTACTGTAAACTCCGTGCTTACCTTCTTGGTGCCTACCTGCACCTCTAAATTCGTGGCTCCAAGAGGCCACGTTGGCGTTCCATTGAATCCAACCATCGGGCTGTCAAATTGTTTCAGATCATTTGGGTGAAGGTCGAGCTCCTTATAACATCTAACGTACATGATGTCACAAGAACTGCCTTGATTAGCCAGTATGTGCCTCACCTGGCATTCTTTAATCTTCAGCGTTATCACCAGGGCATCGTTGTGTGGATGCTGCACTACATCCAAGTCTGCCTCAATAAAAGAAACCATTGGTCCCTGGTACTTATTTATCCTAGGCTTCTTTTGCTAGACCTGATACACATGTTGTAGGTGCCTAACTCTCTGGGTCTCTCCTCATACATCATTCTCATTAACCTTTGAGTGAATCACATTGATCACCCGAGGCCCATCTGCTTGCTGTGGCGGTGGTGATGGAGGTGGTGCTACTAGTGCCTAGGGTAGCCTTGTTTGCTCTTCCCTTGTCCTGGCCTCATCTACTAGGTCTCTTAGGTGACCCTGTCTAACCAAATCCTCCAAGTGTGTCTTTAGAGCCTTGCACCCCTAAGTCAAGTGCCCATGCTCATTGTGCTAAGCACAGTGCTTCCCAATACTTTTTTCCCTAAACTTGCCAGGGATTTTCTCTGATGTTTTGTAGTATGGCGGTTCCTGATCCTTTCTAGAACTTTGAAGATCGGGATCCTAAATACA